AACATATGCCTTAGCTCGTTTGGCTTTCTTTTTAGCTCAAAATTATAAATAATTAACAATAGTTTTATTATTTTATTATTAGACAGTATCAAGAGGGCATTTTATGAAAAGCCATGATCAAAATAGCTATATATATATAATTGATTATTTTACAATATAGCATAATGACAAAGATAGATGAGATAATTTTATCTTCTTAATAATTCAGCAGGATAATAATAAGTTTACAATGGAAATGGAAAATAGTTTTTATTATCATGACAGGGAATAAATTAGGCAGGAATATAAATGTTAAATCGTTATATGCCAGTTTTAGTCTTAGCGTCATCTCCAACCACTTTTATAAAATGAATTGTATCTCAAAATCATTGATTATTCGAAGAACAAGATATCCAGATAGGGACAAGCTATAGAGGCATGATTGAAAATGGCATAACAATGAAGAATGCATTTTTTGACGAGAAATATATGAAAAGAAATTAGAAATCGTTTATCATACCCTGACTTTTACCTAGTGGTTTCTGAATAAAAAATATTAGGTGAAGAATATAGGCAATATTCAAAGAAAATGAAGCCCTAGAGTTTAGTCCAATTTTAAAAAATTGACCCATAATCCAGATCACGCTGCTATAAAATACGTTTATGCAGTCGATTTTATGTTGGTGAGACTTATCTTACCATTCGATAAAGGGTGGCTAAACAAAGAATTGTTTGTAAAGAGAAATGGGATCAACTAGCAGAGGTAATGGAACACTCGCCAGAGACAGGACATAAAGATAGGAGGGTCTCAAACTGGTCATGTTTCTAATTATGGAACGTCTGTAGCTGAGAGCAAAAGTGGATGTATCAAGAAATCAGTGAGTTGGGAATAGAGTGAATGCCAGGAATATTTATAGAAATTGGTGAGCAATCTAAGAGGAAACGATTTATTTACTCATCCGAAATGGTTATGCTTACGTTCAGACTTTATTCCTGTCCTAAAAACACATAAGCACGCATACCATATCCGGTGTTATGATATTAGAGTGCATTTTTAAAAAAGGCAATTAAAACTTGATGACTTAGGATAAAGATTACCATCTATCCTAACTACTTTAGGCTATTGCTGATGGTTTCGTACTCTTAGTATACACATATGCCTAAACATGCATGCACAAAAATTATGATTTTAAGATTAATACATAAAATGAACCACCAAAATTACTCTATACCGTATAAAAGCGCGTAGGTTTAGATTAAATATAGTGTGTAGGAAAAAGGCAGTGAATAGTTATGACTCAGCTTGAACTGGTTGTAATAACGATATCCTGCTCTCGTGATGTCAGTCATGTGACAGGAAGGCCTAATACGTGTGCATAGGAGAAATAAGATTTTAAATAAGCATTAAACATAGGCGAAGGAGATTGACCCGGGAAAAGCATGGCTCGGAATTTTACGGTAAAGCTAGAAATCAGCTGGCTAAGGAGAATCCGCCATCGTCTTCTAGAGAGATCGACTTCCGGATATCCTTGTCACGCACGTTCACTCGGAATGGAAGTTAAATACAAACCAAGAGCTTCCTCTAAACAAAAATTGTCTCCATATAATAGCATTGTTCTTTAACCTTTATTTCTTTGATATTATGTCATCATGCAAAATTTAACGCTTTTAAAGAAACCAGGTTTCTTAATTCGTCGCTTGACATTTGCGCTATTAATACATATATAAGTAAATATGCATTGATTAAGGCATGCATACACACACACGCACACACACACACACATATATATATATATATATATACATATATATTAGTACAAAAAGTAAACATACTTTATCGACTCCTTGACCAGTAGCAGCTGCTATATCATCGAACGAAATAGTTCGATCATTAGCTGGTCTCTGGAAGATGGCCTCAACAAGTCCTAAAAGAGTAGCTTTTTCACGCAGAAGTGAAGGTACCGCAGAAGCAGCTGCCACTAAATCCGGTTGTTTCAACCAGCCTGGCGACTTCTGCAGCTCTTCGATGCGAGACAGGTTGCCGCGGTTAAAGGCTTCCAGTAATTGGACAAGCCAGCCGTGTTCAGGTGAAGCAGAAAGATAATTAAGGATGTCGTGTGTCAGCTAAACAAAACAAAAATGTTTTATGATTAAGAAGAAACATAAGAAATAATGGCAAAAACTTAATAACTTATATTTTGCATGTATTAATGGAGTGGAAGGGAAAAATGAGATCATACACAATATAATCCAAAAATTTAAATAACTTCTATACATTATCAAATGTTGTCCACACATTTTGTTCATATATATATATATATATATATATATATATATATAGACATTGCTAGGTCTATTCAAATATAGTTTTGCATTTTCTAATACTGGTTTGATTAATTTTCAGGACCAATTTTTATAAGAAATATGTTTTTTAAAAGTATAAGAAACCACTGTATGAATATTGAGAATATACAGAGAATGGTTTAACTAAGATATCTGGACATTTTCCGCCTATGTAGTCGTATCACCTGAAATAGGAACTGAGTCAATCTAGATCACTCATGGTAATTTTGCTTAGCCTTACTTCTTCAAAGGTTTCTACCCATAATTGACTGCAGTTTCGACACCGCCTTGATCTCAACACCCTTAATGGGATTCGA